TCTGTTCCCCTCCCCCAATTCCCCAATAAAAATCTTAAAAAAAATAATAAATCAATGATTGGAGGAGAGTCGGCAGGATGCATAGGTGGGGTACAGGGGAGTTTCAGGGCAGGGAAGCGATTCTGTGACACTGTCGTGGTGGACACATGACATTGTGCATTTGTCCAAACCCACAGAACACACAGCACCACGAGCGAACCCTAATGCCAACTGTGGGCTTCAGTTAATAATAACGTATCAGTGGGTCCTCAGCTGTGACACATGTACCAGCCAATGTGAGATGTTCATAGGAGGAGAGCTGTGTATGGGGAATGGGGTATTGGGGACTTTCTATACTGTCTCCTATACTTTCCTGTAAACCTAAAGCCTAAAAATTAATAAAGACTATTCATTTCATAAAAACAATCATGCAAATCTTTAAGTAATGTCAACTGTTATGGGTGCCCAGTGTTATACAAAGGAGAGGAGGGTACAGGGTGCCCTAACGCAGTCGCAGGGGAGCAGGATAAGCTTCCGGGAAGGACAGCTTTAAGCTCTGACCTGAAGGACGAAGCGAGGAGGGAGGCCCTTCTGGGAGGAGGCCAGAGCATGAGGGAGGACCTGGGGCTAAGAGGAGCCCACCCTGTGAGGTGAGATAAGCCCAGAGGCTCAAAGGAGGGCAGACTGTGACAGGCTGGCGGTTGGGTGGCCCTGCTCTGGCTCATATCTCACATCACTGCGGCCGCCCCAAGGAGAATGGTTCACCTGGGGGACAGAGCCAGGGTAGGGAGATCAGCGAGAAAGCTGTGCCCTGGCCAACACAGAGGACCTGGCGTAGGGTGGAGTCGCCAGCGGCCACCAGTGACACCTGGCGTGTGTGGCATTCCCCTTCACCGTACCCGGCATTTCTCTTTTAGCTCATAATTTCCCCCCTTCTCTGTATCCCCCACCTTCCACTGGGCTGAGGTTTGCTTTCCTCCCTCCTCCTTCCCAGTCCTCAAATCCTCCTCTCCCTTAGCCTCGGCTCAGCCACACAATGACCACTGAAGTCCTTGCGTCTCCCTCCTCATTGGTTAATCAGGCCTGTGGACCCTTCACCGTGGCTCTGGCTGCTTCTCTCGTGCCCTCTGTCTCCATCTGACTGAGGCACCGGGCGGGGCTGTGGGGCTGGGCTCCCAGGACAAGGGTCCCAGCAGGGAGGCCGGCTGCCCCTTTCCGGGAGTTACCCACTGCCTGCTGGCTTCCGAACTGCCAGGGCTGCTGTTCTTGAAGTTTCTCTCTGCCCTCAGATTACCCTGCAGAATGGTGATGGAAACCAGGGTACACCTGTGCTATGGAATATTATAAAGCTGGTGAGTACTACATTGTCGAAGCCTCCTTCCAGCCCTGGGGAATGTTAATACGAGTGTATGCTTACC